TGTTTTACTCACATAGGTACATGATCAGAATGCTTTGCTTGAAAAGATGTAAGAGCAAAATGTTCAACTCAGAAATTGCTCTGTCCGAGCTGATTTCCAGTCCTGAGTTGCCCTTTAGTCCGAGGTTGGAGTTGATATTGCTTCAAGGTTCTGACCTGTTCAGACAATCCTTTGAGTCGTTTGTCCATTGCATTGATGACTTTGTCTCTCTAAGCTAACTCATGTAACTAGATGTTGCCTTCTGCTCAGTCTTTCAAGGGTTGGTCGTGAACTTCATACTCACATCGTTCATGTGGAGCTTCTACGTTTAATGGGCATGTCCGTTGAACTTGAAAGCACAGAACGTCATGTTCTTCACCGGTTGATAAGATAATATTTTTAATGAAGTGAAACTACCAAAGAGTATAAAAAGGCTTTTTGTAACAAGTTTTCCACAGACATCACCAAATTGTGGTGGATAAAAATTAAACCACCTTTGTTGTGGCGGCACTTCGATATGAACACGGTGGAACTTAGCCTAAAACACTCAAGAAAATATGAAAAACCCGGCTAGTGGGCAGGCAGGGGACTCTCCGATGCTTAAGTTAGTAAACTTGAAAGCTATGGAGCAAGAAAATATAAAAATAGAAGCAACCCAAAGTGGTGTTAATTCATTGTCTACCATTTTCCTTACTTGGTATGGCTTTATATAGCCTTCAAAATGGCTGTTGGAGTTGGTTCCACTTCTCCTACCACTCCTCACATTCAGCTCACTTTTTGTGGGATCATGTTCCACTATCGTGAATTTCTAGAAGTGGTTGGCCCTTAAAGTAAGGACCAAGCTTTGACCAAGTCTGCCCCTAAGGGTCATGCCTTCTGGCCTGGACCCCTTGGACCTAGTCTTATGGTTCTGCATATCTGGTTCTAGACCCACATGTTTAGACCTGGACTCCTAGTTCTGCACCTCTAGTTCTAGTCCTACACCTATAGTTCTGGACTCGCATGTTTGGACCTAGACCTCTAGTCTTGGTCTATAGACCTGCTATTCTGCTCATTAGAGTGTATCCTGCTCAGATTCTGTACATTTTCTGCTCGGAATGAAACTCTTTATTTTTGCCTCCCACACATATTATTTTGCTTTGTTAATTTGTCTTGTCCAAACTACATATAAAAGATGCTTACACTCTCAAGTTCTTTGAAAACAATTCAAGCCGCATGCCAAAGTAGTGCAATGGCGCGGACACTGCGAAACTCATTTCCTGCCAAATTCAAGGGAAGTATGGAATGGAACTACCCGGATACAATAGGATGCATCCACACCCGCATATGAATGAGAGGTGCCCATCTCTTTCCACAAAATACTCTAGGCCTAAGGGTTACTAAAAAGACTTCTGATTTGTTTATCCTATTTCAGAGTTTTTATAACACAGCTTTGTGTAATACTAGGTGGTTGTATGATTTATTTTTTTGTATACAACTTTTTTGATGCAAAGACTGGAAAGATTCCAAAAGATTAGCCGATGTAAGTTTGATATTGTTTGTAAATTTGCTACCACAATATGCACATAGAGTAATGGTAATTTCATTGTTACTGCGCAGTTTTAATTTTGAAGCTCCTAATTCAGAAATCTAGATGATTGGATAAGGTTTGATTTCGATGGAATTGCTATTCTTTTTCAAAGATCAATAAATTTTGGAAGGCATCCTACAAAAACTGTCAAGTTAGATCTAATCTATGTAGCTGTTTGACGAACCATCAGGATTGATTTCCGTGGTTCCATAAACCAGTTCCATGGTTGATATTGAGGTGCTTCCCCTTGCACTAGTCATTATATTGCATCATGTTGTTCAGTTGGTTGGGTAGAATAAACTTCTGTTGTGTCAATCACGTAACGTCTACAACATGGAAAATCAACTAAAGAGCTCTAAACATACGCCTACACCCTTAGCAAAGTCATCATTCCTTCGACTGTAACAACTACATATATTGAGTTTGAACTTTGAATCATATGGTCGTGAATCAAAAATTTTAACTAATTGCAAATATTATTCTCATTCGTTTGAGGTTTATAAAGTTTGAAAATAAGTCTCCAAATGCTTTTTGCAGCCGTAAAATATTCAAAAAGTGATAATCTTAAGAATATCATTTTGAGATTTGAAAAACTTGTGCCAATTTAAATTAAAATGATTAGAAACCCAATATTTGAAATAGTGTTTATGAACTTGTGGTTTTTTTCCCCCTATGTACAAAGAATATAAAATATGTTTATTTTTTATTTTTTTATTTTATTTTTTTCTTAAAAAAAAAACTACAATAAATAGCATATTGTATACATGTTCTCAAAAATACAAAAAAATCAAAGAGTAGTACTACTTTAATAAAAAAGTTGGACTTATTTTTCAAGCCTAATGATATAACACTCTATTAAAATATTGATAAATTATAAATACGTCTCTTAAGATTTGTTTATAATATATATTGCCCTCTGTGATTCTGAAAATTACATCTCGCCTTTCTAATTACATTACCAATAACTTATTTTATTGACAAATCATCGAATTAATTAATTTTTTTTAATGGTGTCATAAATATATTCCAATTAACAATTCAAATAATTTTATTGTTATATAGGAGAATATTTAAAATTTTCATCTTTCTGTTAATTATGTTAAATAAAAATATTTCATAGTAAGATATTTGTAATTTTCAAAATTATAAGGGACAATCTGTATTTTAAGTAAATCTTAGTAGGTGTATTTGTAATTACTTCAGAATAATTAAGTCAACTCTTTTTCTAATATTTTCTCTAATCATCAACCATTCATTTCTTTTACATTATACATCACCGAGTTAAGAAAGTGAGTTTATAAAATAAATTTGTATATCATTTTTTAAAATGAAAACAAGTATAGTAAGTTACCAAAAAATGGGAGTGGTCGAAGGTGATTCCTAGAGCGAAGATGAAAGGGTGAGGGTGGTAGGTAAAAATGAAACTTGTTTTGAAAATAAGTAAAATCACAATTTTCTTATTTCCAGAAATTCTAAGAACTGTAGCCAGATTTTTTTGAAAGTGAAAACAATTAGCAAACGTGTTTTTTATTCCGATTTCAAAAAATCTAAAGCTAAAGAAAAATAAATAAAATAAAAATCTCACCATTCAAAAATTTGTGAAGTTAGCATTTTTTAAAAGTGAAAACAATAAATAAATGTGTTTTCTATTTCAAATTCAAAAAATCTAAAGCTAAAGAAAATTTAAAAAATTTAAAAAAAAAAAAAAAAAAAAAAAAACCTCACCAAACGAACCCTAAGGGCTTGTTTGGTAACCATTTCGTTTTCAGTTTATATTTACAAAAATTTTAAAAAACGTCATAAAAACTTGTTTGATAATTTTTTGGGCAAATTACATATACCCCCTCGAGGTTTGGCTAAATTACAAATACCCCCTGAGGTTTGAGAAATTACAAATTCCCCCCTGAATGCTATATTTGCATAACAAATTAGGGGGTAATTTGTTATGAAATTTAAACCTCAAGAGGCAAATTGTTATGAAAATACAAACCTTAGGGGGCGGGATGTAATTTTCGAAACCTCAGGGGGTACCTGTAATTTAGCCAAACCTGGAGGGGGTATATGTAATTTGCCCTAATTTTTTTGGTTTATAAACGGTTGTCTCAGTTTATAAATTTGAGGAAAAAATGTAAACTCAAAAAATTAGTTTACGTTGGTTTTTAAACAGAAATTTAAAAATTTGATTAACAAAAAAAAATTTCAATTATTTTTTTTAAATTAATTTTTTTTCCAATTAATTTTTTTTTCAATTATAATGTGTGTGATCCCATTGTCATAAATAATAAAAAATAAATATAAATTTTTTTAGCCTGAACAAAAATATTTTTTAGTTTATATTTTTAAAATTTTTCAAACATTTTGTTCAAATCAAATGCGTTTGTAATTTATGTTTTTCTAAAAATAAACAAAAACCAGTTAATAAAATTTTTGTAAATATAAACTAAAAACGTAAACGTTACCAAACGCTACCTAAGATTTACAATCCCAATTAAAAAATTTGTAAAGTTACCAACTCTCTAGGATCAAAATTAGGAGGTCAAATAATAGACTTCCGGACTACTAAAAAAACAAAAATATAATAGAAAAAATAAGAAGAATAGAGAAAAATTTGATCTCAATATATATACAACAAATCAAGTACCAAGAGCACATGAAAATAAATAAATATATAATAAACATTCTAAATGTGATGGTGATTCATATGAATAGAGCTCTCTCCTCCTTCGCTATAAATAATTTCCTTCCAATAGCCAAGTTTGTGTCCCATATCCAAACTTTTGGGATGTGTGCAATTTTCCAATTATTTCCACGCTCTAAGTCTCTATTCAGACTCGAAATCAATCCATCAGACATATCAACCAAATCAAGTGATTTAAAGCTGGTTAGATATTCAATGCCAGGGGGTGACTCCTCTACCAACTCGCATTGCCGGATAAATAACTCTTCAAGATGAGGCATCGAGCCAGCCTCCACTTTTACCCATCTCAGTCCTTTTATTCCAGGAAGTAATAATCTCACAAGTCTTTGAAATCCACCAGCCTTGAAACACAATTCTTCTCCTTCATATGTCTGACGAAGACCAAGTTCAACCAAATTGGGCAAATCTTGAAAGGAATCCAGTGGATCAACATTCCTGAACTTACTCCATCCTAAAACTAGTCTTACCAAGCTATGCGATGAAGGTATCCAATGTGGTACCTTACGTAAACTTCCTTCTAGACAGAGCGTTTGAAGAAGTTGAGGTGGTGGAGAAAGAGAATCTAGATCAACGATCTCGTCTTCTCCTGTTGCACGAACAATCAATGAGCACTACTAGAAATATGATCTTTTGCGTCTATTTTTTTACGACCGATTGTTTGACCGTCGCAAAAAAGTGCTTTTTTTATCCAAATCCCGTTCTAATTAATTAACACGCAGTCGTTTCTTTAAAAAAAAAAATCATCCATATCGGGTATAACTTGCCCTATCCCCAAATCGGTATGAACTCTCTCTCTCTCAAATCGGTATGAACTCTCTCTCTCTCAAAATTTCACTCTTCACTCTCTCTCGCTCTACTTTCTCTTTCAACTCACCACTCCAATTTTATTGTTCATTTGAAGATGTCGATCAATTGTTGATGAATATTTGCAGATTTTGATCGATCGTTGATGAAGATTTGAAGATTTCAATCTGCTGTTGATGAAGATTTCGATTGATTCATGATCGGTAAGTCTAATTTTTATGTATGCATCTAACTCTGTCTCTGTAATCCCTATATCTTTTTCTCAGCTCCTAAATTCTTTTCGGCTTTTCGCGAAGATCAACATCAGTTCAAAGGAAGTGGATTTCGAAATCAACATGAATTTTTTCCAATTCAATTTAGTTTTATCCATGCGGTGCAAACTCTGATTTGGAAATAGGTTTTTGATTTGAAGAGTCATTTTATTTTTTTAATTATTAAATCTCGATTTTCTTTGGCTTTTAAATGTGGTTGAGTCTGCAAAATCATAAGTTCACAAGTAAATATTGTACTTCTTATATACCTTTTTTGATGTAGGTATTCTTGGTGAAATATCTTTGACATGTATTTAAGAAGCTAAACACACCTTATTTTTCATATCACTTTCTTATGTTAAAATTCAGTACAGAACAACATTATTTCCTTCTCCTTTTACCTTTACTAATCTGGATGCACTTCTTAACTTAATGAATCACCTTCTTATGGTCCTCTAAGGCTTGAGATTAGCTAAAATTAAATGGGAGAAACTTCAAAAATTGGCGTGATCTTAAGGTGGGGCCTATTGAACTTCACATAGCCAAGTTCTAATGTTAGTAAAGTCCTATATTTGTAGTTACCTAAGCTTTTGATCAGTTTTATGTATGTTCTCCTATGATATATTTGTAAGGCTATTTTGGCATTTTTAAAATTTTTGATGGACATGGATTGTAGTGATTCCTCATGGTTGTAGTTTGAGTTTATTCTTGTTATTGGGTCTTCATATAGGGTCTATACTTTCCTGGATGTCTTTTAAAATTCAAATTCTTCAATTTCTAATTTTCGAGTTGGAGTCGGTCCTTTAAGAGTTGGGGTGTCTAAATTCTTCCAATTCAACAGACAGCAAGTTGGAGACGATTTGCTTTTCTGTTTGAATTTTTAACAATTGTACTCTTTGTCCTGTGCTATAACTCTAACCATAGGTGTATTGCACAAGGAATGCAGGAGTGATTCCTCGATGACTTTTCTTATTCTACTCAATTAACTGTCAAAATGAGACCTTGTCAACCCTTTTCTTCTCATCCTTAAAACTCTGTTGGTAAGGCCTAACGACTGCCTACCTCATATACTCGTTATGTACGAAAGGATCCAACACGGGTACTGTTCACACAGCCCCTGAGCTTGCATTACAAACCCTAAACCCCCATATCTCATCTACCTTCTAGCAACAAAAATTGAAAACCAGCAGTCTCAATGCCCCCTTAACAGCTTCTCTACGTCATTTCTTGTAACATTGCTTGTACAAGAGGGCTCAGCCCAGCACTTGTAACATTTTTCTTAAGGTAATGTAAAAATTTATGTATTATTGATTGATGTTTATTGATATCTATTACAATGATTCATGATTCCTATATATAGAAGAGGGTGAGTGTGTAGTAGGTAAGGAGTAGGTGAAGTGGAGGTGGTAGTGGTGTAGTGGGTTAGGTTTAGTGGAGTAGGTGAGATGGTAGTGGTGTAGTGGGTTAGGTTTAGTAGAGTAGGTGAGGTGGTAGTGGTGTAGTGGGTTACGTTTAGTGGAGTAGGTTTAAGTTGGTGAAGTAGGTGGAGAGTAGGTGGATTTTAACAGCCCCCCGCAAACTCAAGGGGGATAGGAACTAACCAACTTGAGTTTGGAGAGAGTAACAAAACAAGAAAATACATAAAAAATAAAAGAGAATAGAGACACTGTATGGTCGTGTCAGACCATTGGTGAAGACACTGGATGGTAGGATACATAATCCAATGAATTTGTAATCCTAGGATTATTAGTCATGGGAATGTTAATCCAGTCCGACCAATTTATATTGGCATGTTTTTGCCTAATTGGTCCATTCTAATGGACTTGATTGCAACTAATCATTTCTCACTATTTATTTTGATTTTCAGTCGATAGGATATTGACCAATGGGAAGTGGAAGAAGAAAATACTAGAAGTTAAAAGTTGGAATCCACGGTACCTAATTTTATTTTATTACTGGAATTGATTTGTATAGGTTGTATTTAAGTTTGAGTTGGAGTTGTTGGCTTGTATTGAACAATATTTATTTTATGTTTGCGTTTTATTTAAATACTATTAAAGACTTATTTAGTTTAATTATTTATTATTGATTGATTATTTTTTTGGATTGGATTGATTTGGTTCAAGTGCATGATTCATTCAAGTTGGTTCTAAATTTAATGTCTAACTTAAACCAAACTGACCCAATCACACCCCTATATTGGTTCATATCCATAGAGATTTTTTTAATACAAGGTCTGAGCAATAAAAGTTGGAATTTTTTTTATAATAGACCCCTTGTAATAAGATTGTTTTATAAGAAACAAACAAAACCATAAGTTATAGAGTAAACTACCAATAGGTCCTAATAGTTTGACTTAATTCCAATCAAGTCCTATTGAAAATAAGTCTTGGAAAATTGTCGCTAAAAATAATTTTTTTGTAACAATTTTTTATATATGTTGCTAAAAATTGACAATTAGTGACTTCTTTTTGTCATGATTTTTATAAATTGTCGCTAAAACTTACAATTAGTGACTTTTTTATGACAAATTTTTTCTATAAAACCTATTAGACAATAAATCCACTTATTAGGACTTACACGTAAGTACCCCTAATTATAATTGATATCACTTAAAAATTTAAGTGCCTCTTAAAATGTAGGCTAAAATTTAAGAAAATTTTAAATCATATAAAAATTACTTAATTTTGACTGAATTTATAAATACTACACATAAGCATCACTATACACTATTATAAACTTATCACTACCATCGTTACCACAACTACCACCATCACCATCACCACCACCACCACCACCACCACCACCACCATTACTACCACTACCACCACCACTAACACTACTACCATGCCACCGCTATCGTGCGGATTCTTCCCCCAACTAACGAAGAGATCTTGGCGGAATTGCCACATATGAAATTGAGCACAATTTTGTAAAGAAATAGCCAAAGAGAGAGACTCTACGTTTATGGGCATGTCCGTTGAACCTGAAAGCACAGAACTCATGTTCTCACCGGTTGATAAGATAATATTTTAATGAAGTGAAACTACCCAAAGAGTCATAAAAAGGCTTTTGTAACAAGTTCCACAGATCATTCACCAAATTGTGGTGGATAAAATTAAACCACCTTTGTTGGGCGCACTTTCGATTATGAACACGGTGGAACTTAGCTAAAACACCAAAAAAATGAAAACACCCGGCTATGGGCAGGCAGGGGACTCTCCATGCTTAAGTTAGTAAACTTGAACTATGGAGCAAGAAATTATAAAAATAGAAGCAAACCCAAGTGGTGTTAATTCATTGTCTACCATTTTTCCTTACTTGGTATGGCTTTATATAGCCCTTCAAAATGGCTGTTGGCAGTTGGTTTCCACTTCTCCTACCACTCCTCACATTCAGACCACTTTTGGATCATGTATTCCACTATCGTGAAATTTCTCGAAGGAGTTGCCCTTACAGTAAGGACCAAGCTATTGAAACACAGTCATGCCTCCTAAGGGTCATGCCTTCTGGCCTGGACCCCTTTGGACCTAGTCTTTATGGTTTGCATATCTGGTTCTAGGACCCACATGTTTAGACCTGGACCTAGTTCTGCACCTCTAGTTCTAGTCCTACACCTATAGTTCTGGACTCGCATGTTTTGGACCTAGACCTCTAGTCTGGTCTATAGACCGCTGTCTGCTCATTAGAGTGTAATCCTGCTCAGATTCCTGTCATTTTGCGTCGGATGAAACTCTTTATTTTTCCCCCACATATTATTTTTGCTTTTGGTTAATGTTGTCTTGTCCAAAACACTATAAAAGATGCCTTAACTCTCAAGGCTTTGAAAACAATTAAGTCCGCATTTGCCAAAGTAGTCTGCAATGGCGCGGAACTGCGAAACTCATTTCCTGCCATTCAAGGGAAGTATGGAATGGAACTACTCCGGAATACAATAGGATGCATCCATCAACCGCAATGAATGAGAGGTGCCCATCTCTCTCCACCAAAATACTCTAGGCCTAAGGGTTCTAAAAAAAAGAACTTCTGATTTGGTTTATCCTATTTCAGAGTTTTATAACACACTTTGTGTAATACTAGGTGGTTGTATGATTTATTTTTTTTGTATACAACTTTTTTTGATGCAAGACTGGAAAGATTCCAAAAGTTAGCCGATGTAAGTTTGATATAGTTTGTAAATTTGCACCGACAATATCACATAGAGTAAGGTAATTTCATTGTTACTTGCGCAGTTTTAATTTGAAGCCCTAATTCAGAAATTCTAGATGATTGGCATAAGGTTTAGATTTCGATGGAATTGCTATTCTTTTTTCAAAGACAATAAATTTTGGAAGTCAATCCTACAAAAACTGTCAAGTTAGATCTAATCTATGTAGCTGTTTTGACGAAACCATCAGGATTGATATTTCCTGTGGTTCCATTAAAACCAGTTCCTGTTGAATATTGAGGTGCTTCCCCTTGCACTAGTCATTATATGCTGCATCATGTTTGGTTTCAGTTGCGTGGGTAAGAATAAACTTCTGTGTGTCAATCACAAGTAACGTCTACAACAGGAAAATCAACAATAGAGCTCTAAACATACGCCTACACTTAGCAAAGTCATCATTCCTGTCGACGTGTAACAACTACATATATTGAGTTTGAACTTTGAATCATATGGTCGTGAATCAAAAATTTTAACTAATTGCAAAATATTATTCTCAATTCGTTTGAGGTTATAAAGTTTGAAAATAAGTCTCAAATGCTTTTTGCAGCCGTAAATATTCAAAAAAGTGATAATCTTAAAGAATATCATTTTGTAGATTGAAAAACTTGTGCCAATTAAATTAAAATGATTAGAAACCCGAATAATAGAAATAGTGTTATAACTTGCTGGTTTTTTTTCCCCTATATACAAGAATATAAAAATATGTTTATTTTTTATTTTTTTAATTTTATTTTTTCTCTTAAAAAAAAAACTACAAAAAATAGCATATTGTTATCACATGTTCTCAAAAAATTACAAAAAAATCCAAAGAGTAGTACTAACTTAATAAAAATGGACTTTTTTTCAAGCCTAATGATATAACACTCTATTAAATATGATAAATTATAAAATACGTCTCTTAAGATTTGTTTATAAATATCATTTGCCCTGTTTGATTCTTGAAAATTACATCTCGTCCTTTCTAATTACATTACCAATAACTTTATTTTATGACAAATCATCGAATTAATTAATTTTTTTTAATGTGTCATAAATAGTATATCGCAATTAACCAATTCAAATAATTTTATTAGTATATATGGAGAATTTAAATTTTCATCTTTCTGTTAATTATGTTTAAATAAAAAATATTTCATATGTAAGATATTTGTAATTTTTCAAAATTAATAAGGGACAACTGTATTTAAAAGTAAAATCTTAGTAGCGTGTTATTTGTAAATTACTTCAGAATAATTAAGTCAACTTCTTTTCTAATATTTCTTCTTAATCATCAACCATTCATTTCCTTTACATATACATCAATCCAGAGTTAAGAAATGAGTTTATAAAAAAATTTGTATATCATTTTTATAAATGAACAAGTATAGAAAGTTACCAAAAATGGGGATGGTCTCGAAGGTGATTCCTAGAGCGAAGAATGAAAGGGTGAGGGTTGGTAGGGTAAAAATGAAACTTGTTTTTGAAAATAAAAGTAAAACACAATTTTCTTATTCCCAGAAATTCCTAAGAACTGTCAGCCAGATTTTTTGAAAGTGAAAACAATAAGCAAACGTGTTTTTATCCGATTCAAAAAATCTAAAGCCTAAAGAAAAATAAATAAAATAAAAAATCTCACCATTCAACAAAATTTGTGAAGTTAAGCATTTTTTAAAGTGGAAAACAATAAATAAATGTGTTTTCTATTTCCAATTCAAAAAATCTAAAGCTATAAAGAAAAATTTAAAAAATTTAAAAAAAAAAAAAAAAAAAAAAACCTCACCAAACGAACCCTTAAGGGCTTGTTTGGTAACCATTTCGTTTTCAGTTATATATTACAAAAATTTTAAAAAACGTCGATAAAAGCTGTTTGATGATTTTTTTGGGCAAATTCATATACCCCTCGAGGTTGCTATAAATTAACCAAATACCCCCTGAGGTTTGGAGAAATTACAACATTCCCCCCTGAATCTAATTTGCATAACAAATTAGGGGGTAATTTGTTATGAATTTAAACCTCAAGAGGCAAATTGTTATGAAAAATACAAACCTTAGGGGGCGGGGATGTAATTTTTCGAAACCTCGGGGGTACCTGCAATTTAGCCAAACCTGGAGGGGTATATGTAATTTTGCACCTAATTTTTTTTGGGTTATAGAACGGTATGTCTCAAGTTTTATAAATTTAGGAAAAAATGTAAAACTCAAAAAAATTAGTTTACGTTGTTTTTTAAAACAGAAATTTAAAAATTTGAATAACAAAAAAAATTTTTTTTCAATTATTTTTTTTTAATTAATTTTTTTCCAATTAATTTTTTGTTCAATTATAATGTGTGTGATCCCATTGTCAAAATAAAAAAAAATAAATATAAATTTTTTAGCCTGAACAAAAAATATTTTTTAGTTTTATATTTTGATTAAACATTTTTACAAACAGTTTTTTCAAAATCAAATGCGTTGTAATTTATGTTTTCTAAAAAATAAACAAAAAACCAGTTAATAAAATTTTGTAATTATAAACTAAAAACGTAACGTTACCAAACGCTACCTAAGCATTTACAATCTCCAATTAAAAAATTTGTAAAGTTACCAAACTCTCTAGGTCAAAATTACAGGAGGTCTCAAATAATAACTTCCGGACTACTAAAAAACAAAATATATAATAGAAAAATTAAGAAGAATAGAGAAAAATTTGATCTCAATATATATACAACAAATCAAGTACCAAGAGCACATGAATAATAAATAAAGTATATAATAAACAATTCTAAATGTGATGGTGATTCAATGAATAGAGCTCTCTCCTCCTTCGCTATAAATAATTTCCATTCCAATAGCCAAGTTTGTGTCCCATATCCAAACTTTTGGGATGTGTGCAATTTTCCAATTATTTCCACGCTCTAAGTCTCTATTCAGACTCGAAATCAATCCATCAGACATATCAACCAAATTCAATGATTTAAAGCTGGTTAGATATTCAATGCCAGGGGTGACTCCTCTACCAACTCGCATGCCGGATAAATAACTCTTCAAGATGAGGCATTCGAGCCAGCCTCCACTTTTACCCATCTCAGTCCTTTATTCCAGGAAGTAATAATCTCACAAGTCTTTGAAATCCACCAGCCTTGAAACAAATCTCTCCTTCATATGTCTGACGAAGACCAAGTTCAACCAAATTGGGCAAATCTTGAAAGGAATCCAGTGGATCAACATTCCTGAACTTACTCCATCCTAAAACTAGTCTTAACCAAGCTATGCGATGAAAGGTATCCAATTGTGGTACCTTAACGTAAACTTCCTTCTAGACAGAGCGTTTGAAGAAGTTGAGGTGGTGGAGAAAGAGAATCTAGAATCAAGCGATCTCGTCTTCTCCTGTTGCACGAACAATCAATGAGCACTACTAGAAATATGAATCTTTTGCGTCTATTTTTTTACGACCGATTGTTTGACCGTCGCAAAAAAGTGCTTTTTTATCCAAATCCCGTTCTAATTAATTAAACAGCAGTCGTTTCTTTTTAAAAAAAAAAATCATCCATATCGGGTATAACTTGCCCTATCCCAAATCGGTAATAACTCTCTCTCTCTCAAATCGGTATGAACTCTCTCTCTCTCAAAAATTTCACTCTTCACTCTCTCTCGCTCTACTTCTCTTTCAACTCCACCACTCCAATTTTATTGTTATTTAAGATGTCGATCAATTGTTGATGAATATTTGCAGATTTTGATCGATCGTTGATGAAGATTTGAAGATTTCAATCTGCTGTTGATGAAGATTTCGATTGATTCATGATCGGTAAGTCTAATTTTTATGTATGCATCTAACTCTGTCTCTGTAATCCCTATATCTTTTTCTCAGCTCCCAAATTCTCTTTGGCTTTTCGCGAAGATCAACATCAGTTCAGAGGAAGTGGTTCGAAAATCAAACATGAATTTTTTCCAATTCAATTTAGTTTTATCCATGCGGTGCAAACTCTGATTTGGGAAATAGGTTTTTTGATTTGAAGAGTCATTTTATTTTTTAATTATTAAATCTCGATTTCTTTGGCTTTTAAATGTGGTTGAGTCTGCAAAACATAAGTTCACAAGTAAATATTGTACTTCTTAATATACCTTTTTTGATGTAGGTATTCTTGGTGAAATATCTTTGACATGTATTTAAGAAGCTAAACACACCTTATTTTTCATATCACTTTCTTATGTTAAATTCAGTACAGAACAACATTATTTCCTTCTCCTTTTACCTTTACTAATCTGGATGCACTTCTTAACTTAATGAATCACCTTTCTTATGGTCCTCTAAGGCTTAGGACGGCTAAAATATATGGGAGAATTATCTTAAAAAAACGGAAGAATTCATTGGCGTGATCTTAAGGTGGGGCCTATTGAACTTCACATAGCCAAGTTCTAATGTTAGTAAAGTCCTATTTGTAGTTACCTAAGCTTTTGATCAGTTTTATGTATGTTCTCCTATGATATATTTGTGAGGCTATTTTTGGCATTTTTTAAATTTTTGATGGACATGGATTGTAGTGATTCCTCATGGTTGTAGTTTGAGTTATTCTTGTTATTGGGTCTTCATATAGGGTCTAATACTTTCCTGGATGTCTTTTAAATTCAAATTCTTCAATTTCTAATTTTCGAGTTGGAGTCGGTCCTTTAAGAGTTGGGGTGTCTAAATTCTTCCAATTCAACAGACAGCAAGTTGGAGACGATTTGCTTTTCTGTTTGAATTTTTAACAATTGTACTCTTTGTCCTGTGCTATAACTCTAACCATAGGTGTATTGCACAAGGATGCAGGAGTGATTCCTCGATGACTTTTCTTATTCTACTCAATTAACTGTCAAAATGAGACCTTGTCAACCCTTTTCTTCTCATCCTTAAACTCTGTTGGTAAGGCTACGACTGCCTACCTCTATACTCGTTATGTACGAAAGGATCCAACACGGGTACTGTTCACACAGCCCCTGAGCTTGCATTACAAACCCTAAACCCCCATATCTCATCTACCTTCTAGCAACAAAAAAATTGAAAACCAGCAGTCTCAATGCCCCCTTAACAGCTTCTCTACGTCATTTCTTGTAACATTGCTTGTACAAGAGGGCTCAGCCCAGCACTTGTAACATTTTTCTTAAGGTAATGTAAAAATTTATGTATTATTGATTGATGTTTATTTGATATCTATTACAATGATTCATGATTCCTATATATAGAAGAGGGTGACGTGTGTTAGTACGGTA